TACATACAGTATATACTTAGATTTATGACAGGAGAGTCTGTCAACTTTGCAAAATGTAATTAGTTGCAAGTACATAAATGATGAATAACAGTGAAATAAATAGTAAATGTTGATATTATTTAGGGATTTTAAGTGGATCTTAAAAGCACACAGAGAGGCCATTCTGTGAGATCATCCCTGAGCATTAACCTGGTGAATGGTTGCGTTACGAGACTAATGAGCATAGGCAACAGAGATAATTGAATTAAACTCTTTTATTTCCAATATGCACTCATCCATGGCTCTTTTATTTCATCACTGTAAAATAAAGTTAGTCTTTAGGACCTTGATGAATTTGATTTCCACTATGTGACTCAGTGTGTTTGCTCAGTCAAGCGTCAAGCTTAAACTACATATCAATCATTTATATAACACATTTCGTTTGAGTATGATTGGCTGTTGAATAAAGTTTATCAAATGAAGCAAAGTAAGTTACTGTGCCTGTGAACACCGTCGTTTTCGCTCACACGCAATGCTGTAATGCCGGTCTTGTTTGAAATTCTTGAGCTTTTTATTGGTGGATCTGATGTTAAAAAACAATATCTGATTAGAGATAAAGCTTAAATATCGGAAAAATATCAGTAAAACCGATTATCGGTCAATCTCTACTTATTATTATTATTATTATTTCTTTTTTATTTTATATATTTTTTACTCTTGTGGAAAATGAGCTTCCTGTGCTTTGCGATGTGTTACGGTCATAATATTTGATTATATTTTGTTAATTTGATTGATTTTTATGTATTTTTTTATCAAATATTGCATATACCACACATTCCCATTTTTTTTTTACGCTGTTTACTATGTTAAGATTCTGATGTATCCCATAATCAATGACAAAACACCTAAATCTCCAACACCCATAGTCAACCACAACTTTATTACGACAATCAATGTGGATGTTAGAAAATATGCTGTTTTAACAGGGGGAAAAAATCTGATCTGGTCACATTAATATGCAGTTTGTACAGTCTGTGTAGAAATAGATTAAAAAAAATATATACATATATCATATCATATTTGAATTGCTGATTTATGCCAGTGCTTGTCATTGTTTTAGTGCAGTTGGCATCAGACTATCAGTGAATGGCCTGTGGCTGGCCCTTTTGCAAAGCTGAGATACAATGAGGGCCATAAATCTGTATGTAAACACCCTATGTTTAGCTTCCTCCATTTTTACAATGATATTTTGAAGTCCTTGACCTTTTGGTAATCTTAAAATATTCTGGTCTTTCACTAATTTGTGATGTCTGTAGAGGTAATGAGAGGAAGTGAATGTTTACAGAGTCACTTGAGGACAACTTGTGCGCCGTCAGCCCTAAGCAGTTTTCCATTGTATAAGCCTTTTAATATGAGCAGTTACACGTCTGCCGAGTGAGAGCAGACCATCACTGCGGCCGCTAACAGCATGTGCCAATCAGCTTCAGCAGATGTGTCACTTCTGAAATGCCACTTTCTCTTTCTCCACCTCCTCCTTTCGTTTATCTCACTGTTTTCTCTCTCTATCCCACTCACTCACTTCAACGCTGACTCATTTTCTCACAGAGGCTTCGTGTCTCAAGAAAAAAAAACAAAAAAAAACAACAACAATGTTGTACTGAAGTGAACTCTCTCTTTATTACTTTTCTCCGTGCTTCACCCCCTCCCTCGATCCTTCTCGCTCTTGTTCTATCCAAACCATAGAGCTGGCGAGGGTTTCCAAAACAACAGCTGGATCTAAGTCATCCAGGGCAGGGTGGGAGTGGAGTCAGATAAGGATAAATGGCTTTTTCCAGAATGGTGTTTGCTGGCCTCGGCGGGGCGGTGATGGGGACAGTTATCTGTTGCTCTTGAGCTGGAGAGAGGGCTATTGGGCTTCTGAGGATGTTGACTCCACAGATATGGGTCATGAGAGGATTTGCCAGAGATCAGGGGGATTGAGGGGGGTAAATACGGCTGTTGTGGTGGGACTTTATTGGAGTCATTGAGTTTGTTGTTCTTCAGTAACGTTAGGAGGCACATAGTCTTGTGTTGGAGGAATTATTGCATTTAAAAGCAGCCAGACGGAGCAACAGATTGAAGTACGTTTAACTTGACACAGCATTATAAACATGTGGCATTCGTGGTGTGAGAAACTTATGAATGTTTATTTGTTTCACAAAGCCAAACTTTTGACAATGTCATAAGGTCTGGACTATATTGCACCTTATTCTGGCCAAGAACTGGCCCGTTAGACAGGAAGAGACTAGATGACTGAAATGTAAAGCGACTCTATGGTTTGTTTTGGTTTTATGTGTGGTTTAGGGGTGGGCTTATATATATAT